GTGGAAATTAATGAGCCATCACCGCACCAATTAAGACCTCAATCGGGGGATAAAGGAACTGAAAATTATAGTACGCATGCAGGTGACCGCTACGAACTATCAATGCCGTGTAATCTGTGCATGTATCACCCTATTTGCGCATGTCTCAGACTGTTCTTCTATTACCTATGATTAAGGATTCTTGAGGGAATCCGAAACGTCAGGACAATAAACCTCTTGTTCCAGTGATCGCTTTTTCTTCCGAACTGCTTCCTGGAACTCGGATATGCCCAAGCCCTTCCAACCTGCCCACACTGCCAAAGAACCTCTCGTGCACCCAGCGGCTTGGCCGGTCACTTCCGCACGCAATGCATCATCCTTCCGACGGCATCCATTTCTACGGCGTCAAACACTTCAACAGACCCTTCTGTGTCCAGCACTAAGACGACAATCACCCTAAATACCGATGCCCCAGTACCCTCACCCGCTAAAACCAACTCACCCCTAACCTTTAGTTTTGTTACTTACTACTTGGTGTCATTTGTAGTACTGTTGCCTTATTGGCTACTGTTTCATGGAATTCGCCTATCAGCCACCTACATTGATGTATTTTTTACGATGTCTGATGCGCGTTGTGCGCTCTGCAGCTGCCATGAGATCTGACAGTCAGGCGGCACCGAGTGGCGTAGAGCAAATCCATAGTCGATATCGTGACTGACCCATGCTCCTTGCCTACCATACACTCCTGGTGTGAGATAGGTGGTAGCCAGAGCACTGGGGTGAGCTGAAGCCGTAAGAGCGACCGTGCACAGGCGCTGTAAAGTGCGCCAACGCTCGATCCCTCACGGTGGTTAGAAAAGGCACACACACCAACGCCTGCCTCCTCCAGTCCAGTTTAGCCAAGCACCTTCAAAGCTGGCTCACACAGGACCTCAAATGACGACTGCCCAGTTTTCAAGTTCACAATTAACTGAAAGACATCGCTAAATATTGCCCTAAAAGGACAATTTCTGCAGACATTATTACAACTTCTTACTTTTATCTGCGCATATTGTCAAATTCGTTTTTCGAATTTTTTACGAAAGTAATTTTTTATCGATAGTGCCGTTCTGGCGCTAACGAATATAAATTCCAAATTGGTGACTCCATTTTCGCTGTTATCCACGTAATTTTTCCGCGTTCCATTTTCTTTTACGTTTTCGCTTTTCCTTCATGGGTGACGAACAGAAATTGCTTCACTCCGGAACTATTGATAATGACCAAAACAACTAAGTCGTCTCAGAGGAGAAAGAGGAGGTTAATGCAGTTAACGTGGCAATCAAACTGCCCACCTATGAAATGCGTGATCCCGGTGTTTGGTTCATGCAAGTTGAGGCCGTTATCCCCACCCGCGGTATCAAAGGGGAACGCACTCACTATGCTTATGTTGTGTACTTCCTTCCTTCTGACGTAACATACGCCGTTCAGGACCTTTTAGATCTTATTCCTGCACAGAAGCCCTATATGTGATTGAAAACGGCTATTCTCAAGCGTACTGCTCAATCAGCCGACGGTAAGCTCTGTGAACATTTAAACGCCGTCGAAATTGGCGATCAGACACTGTCTGCTTTAATGCGTCGTATGCTAAACTTACTAGCTAAGAGTACACTCGACGCCGCAATTTTCCGCCGTATCTGGATGGACAAACTGCCATCCCCTATGCAGCAGGTGCTGGCGCTACTTGACGACAGCACGCCCCTCGAAAAGTTGGCCGAGCATGCTGAAAAAATTATGCAATGCTACCATAGTGGAAGTGCCTTTTCGCCATTTCATCAGGTTTCGGTTTCGACTAAGATGCCCGATGCCGCATCGACAGCCGTGTCTCATATTGCCACTAAACCTGGGCGGTCTACCAAACCTTCGGCCACAGGCCTCGGTCGTGCTTCTTCTCGATCGGGTTCCCCACCGTCCCCCTATACGAATCAGCATCTTTCCTTGACAGTGACGTACAGGATCGTAAAGAGACTGTACGTTTACTCTGCACACAAGTCAGCAACATGTGTGTTGCGATCGAGCGTCTACAGTCGGGTCATGGTAGACCTAACAGCCCCCGCTCCAAGTCGCGCGAGCGCAAATCGGTACAACTTTGCTAGTTTCACCGGACATACGGCTCGAACGCCGAAAAGTGCGTTCCACCATGCAGTATCGCCAAGCGTTCCCATTCGGGAAACGCCGCAGCCAGCCAGCAACGGCGACGACTGCTGCTGGCCATTCGCTACTAAGTCGCCTCTTTTATATTACCGACAG